ACTCCACCTGCAAATCAAAAAGGCTGCAAAGCAAAAAGCTGTGAAACAAAAATTTTTAGATAAACTAGGAACAATTGTGTAAATTTAAGACAAAACTAAGGTAAGAATAATATAGCCCACAGAATAAGAAATTATCCAAGCCAAGCCACCATAGAAAGCATAAACGAGTATAAAGACTGATAGAGCTCAAGATACAATTCGTACAAAATGCCTCATTAAGGTATTCCTCAAGCCTCTCGATCTTACCCTCAGAAGCAAACACCATCCACCACTCAAAGGGACTGAACAACAAAGCTTAAAGCCTCCAGCAAACTAGCAAAAATCCTCCATAATATCACAAATACACAGCTTGAATGCATTCAACCACAACAGGTGATACAGGAACCAAGCCAAAGTCCTAGGAGCAAATAGGACCAACCAAATTCGATAAGCAACCAGTAAACCAAGAATAAAGCCAAAATAACCCCAAAACCCAACCAAACTCCCACATAAACCCCCAATTAGCCAAAATATTAACCAGAAGATAGGAGAGCAATAGTGGGAAATACCATCAGCAACATAACCTGTGCAATCACAGCTCAAGTCTATATCCAAAAAAGACAACAACTAAATTGAGTAACATGGAGAGATGCCAGCATAAAAATAGAAACATCACAAAGAAATCCAAAAGTCTCCAAAGGAGACACATCCCAGCCCTAGAACAATCAAATAGCACAAAGAAGCACCACTAGGCCCAGCGACCAAGAGAACAAACCAACCAAACCAGCGCACCACATAACTCAAGAAAGAATAAAGTAGCAAACCAATCAACCCGAACAAAACCCACACAGCACCCCCACAAAAATACAGGTGCCAAAATGAAAGTCCCCAACAATAAAAGCTGAAGCACCACCAACCACCAACAGAAAAAATAGGGCATGTAACAAGAAAAGAAATCCAACAACAGGAGACCACAACAAGCCCCAAAGCCCGCCGGGGTAACCAGAGGAACCACACCCTGAAACACCATTTAAATTTTATCATAAGGAAGACCAAGTTCCTCTAGTCTAAAAAAACTTTTAAGTGCCACATGAATGTAGGACCCAATAAAATCATAAAAATTCTCAAGATTACAATCCCAATTAGCAAGCCAAGAGGCACAAACATTACCCTCCTTGCAAATATGGAGAAAAGAGTAGTTCATTAAAACCAACATATTTTTAATTTCCTTAACTTGATAAAAAAGATTAATAGTGCAACACATATCATCCACAAAATTTAAAATTTTTAAATTATAATCATATTTCATCTCAATAAGAATGTTAGTTAAATTAAGAGAGATGCAAACCTTAAGATCATAAAGAATAGCCATAGTGATAGCAACAACATTATTACCACTCGGAATAGGAATAGAAAAAGCCACAATAAGACTACCATTAATGTCCCTGATAGCTCCACCACAGCCCACCAAAGAGCCATAACTAGCACCCACAACATTTGATTTATAAAAATTATTGGGAGGATTGAGCCAATAAATAATATTATCCTTTAAAGCAATAGATAAACCCTCCAAATTAAGGCCTAACCCAGTACCAACAAAAAAGTAGTTTTTAAAGTTCTTCTTTTTTAGAAGAAATGCTAATAGCAAATTTTATTAAAAGGAACTACAAACAATCTAATTCCTCCTTCAACAAGTTAGAGAAAGAAGGAGGAATTTTATTAGAGCTAATGTCATCCCAAAAAAAATCTAAAATCAAAGCTGAGTTAGCACATAAATCCGCTAACTTGTTTGAACTTCTATTAGAATGAAGAAAAACAATTTGCTTGAAATGATAAAGAAAGTCTATACCTCTTGGATCCACGTTGACATTGTTGATATCAACCTTATTCATAGCCTCTTGGAAGAATTTGATAACATTAATGTTATCACCTTCAATTATTACACCTGCACCAAACATCCAATCTTGAACAAATCTTTTTAATGAAAGAATAGCTAGCAGCTCAAGTTGAAAACTATCCCAATGAAGGCAATTAGTACCAAAGGCACATAAGAATCTATCTTTGCAATCTCTAAAAACTTCTCCAATTCCAGCATTGTTTGTATGAAGCAATGTAGCATCTATATTAATTTTTATCCATCTAGGAGGTGGAGGATGCCGAGATGGTAAAGACAGCCCACATATTTGATTGGCATCCCAGTTCTCCCAAATGAGGTTTTTATTAAAAGATGTAATAGAATTACAAATTGAATTTGCAGCAATAAAAGAAGAGCTATCTTCCAATCCTTAATGAACTAATTTATTTCTGCTCTTCCAACATAAGAAAATCATAATGTAGTACATATTACCTTGAAAAGCGTTAGAGTTTGCAAGAAGCTTCAATCCATGATAAAAATACTCCAGAGAATAGAAAGATGGAGTATTAAAACCCCATTTATTCAGAAATTTGAAAACTTGATGCAATTTATAGCAATAAACTAAGATGTGCTCTGAATTTTGTACTGAAGAACAACCTCTCAGGCAACTGTCAAAATCATTTAGCCATCTATACTTCAAAAAGTGATTATTAGGAATCACATTTCTCTTCAATCACCACTAAACAGAGCAATTCCTAGCCTTAATCTAGCTTTCTTCATCTAGCTCCAGTCATCATCTATCTCTTCATCAATTTCAGAAACAACCACAGCTAAAGAAGAAATTGTTTTGCCCGAATATTTAAACTTCAGCTCCAATTTGTCACTTGATAAATTTGAATTAATTGGCACCGATAAAATGACATTAACAAGCTCTTGCCCAAAGTAATCTTTAAGCTTCCTTTCATTTCAGTTTCCATCACTAATGAACCCTGCAACTGCTTCAGTATCTTCATTCATATTCCTTACAAAGGTAGGAAATTTGTTGATGCATTTGTCTAAAATCGAAGTATCATTGATAGTATTGATTTCCATACCATTTGATACTCTCCATCTTACAATTGGATGTAGAGATTTTGCTCCATTTAAAATAATTCTCCATGTAGATGAAGAATTTATGTGGTGATCCGAGCTCCAAATATCTTGACCATACTTAGCTGTTAAAGTTTTATTCAGTGAAGAGTTTGGCTTATTGATGAAATTCCAAGTGAATTTTGCTCGTAAAGGACCAATTTTCCTCACAATAGATTGAACACCCCAACCTCCAGCTGTTTTTTATTTACAAAGGACATCCCAAGCAACATAATGAAGTCTCTTAGTGGCATCATTTTTATTCCATAAAAAATTTATGTACATCTTCTCAAAGTCATTTAAGACACCCATTGGAACTAATGAGTGAGTTACCAAGAATATTGGAAGAGAAAGATGAGCCGAATTAATAAGGATCACCTTCCCAACAATTGACATAAGCTTATTTCCCCAAGAGCTTAATATGTTAGTTGCTTTGACCAATATATGTTGAAAATCAGGAGAAAAAAAAAAAAAACCAATCTTCTAACAACAATTTTATGCCCAAATACTCCTTTTTTTCCACAACTTTGACTCCAAAAATCTTTGCAAGTGTTCTTCTTTTCCCCCTTTTAACTAACTTTCCAAAAATAATTGAAGATTAAATTACATTGACCTTCTGGCCGGTCCATCTATAATAGTCTTCAATTAATTTTTTAATTTTCTTCATGTTCTTTCTATTTGCTTCAGAAAAATATACTATATCATTAGCATACATTAAATGAGAAATTAAAGGAGCATTGGGTGCAACCTTTATTCCAATATTTTTTCCCATTTGAGCAAAGGCATCTGTTAGTAATTGAGAGCACATAATAAATAGATAGGGAGACAAAGGACAACCTTGTCTAAATCCACTCCTTGCTTCAATCCAATCTGATTGCCTACCATTAAACATGATAGCAAACTTCCGCTCTCTCACACATTCCAATATCAATTTAGAAAAAAGTTTAGAAACCTAAAACCTTTAAGAACTCACGCTAGAGTGGACCAACTCATGCTATCATAAGCTTGTTCCATATCAATTTTAACCACCATCATCCCTTTCTTAGATTTGGAATGTCTGAATTTATTAAACATTTCTTGAGCAAGCAAAATCTGATCTAACATGGGTGTACTTCTTACATAAGCATATTGATTTTCAAAAATGATTTTAGGGAATAAAATAGACATCCTATTTAACAACATATTAGCCACAATTTTGTAAATGGATTTACAAAGGCTGATAGGACGATAATTGGGAGTCAAAGGGTTATTCACCTTAGGAATCAAAATCACATTAGCTCTTTCCATTCTGAACAAAGAGCACCAGTGGTGAAAAGGAATTTATAGCCATCCACACATCATATTTTATAAAATTCCAATAAGATTTGAGAAAAGAATGAGAGATTCCATCATTACCTGGAGACTTGTTTAACTCCAACTTCTTGATAACATCCTCTAGCTCTTCAAAAGAAAATTCCTTTTCAAGCATCTTCTTGTCAACTTCATCTAAGACAATTGATGGTATAGGCCACCCCCTCAAATGGCATTTATGATCTCTCCAATTGAGATTGAAGTAGCTGCAAAGAAATTCCACAATTTGCGAATGATATTCTAGAATTTCACCATCTTCATTTTTAATTTGCTTGATCCAATTTGCATTCTTTCTAGCTGAGGCATAAGCATGAAAGAATTTGGAATTTGAATCACCATCCTTCATCCAATGAATCTTTGCCCTTTGCTTCCACCAAGTGCAAAGCTGACCAATTGTGGAATTGAGTTCAAAGACTTTAGCTTTTAAAATATGTAACTTCTGATCCGAGAGCACTTCATCACTAGATTCTTCAATTTGTAACTCAAGAATTTCATTTTTAAGAGTTTTCTTCATTTCTTCTAATCTCTTGTGTTTAGCTCTACTCCAAAAAAATAAGGCCTTCAAAGATCTCTTGAATTTATCGTTCAAAACCTCCACATTGCTACTTTTCATTGGTTTCCTCCAAGAGCTGGAAACAATAGCATAGGATGCAGGGAAAGTAGTCCACACTTCTTCAAACATAATTGATCAGTTTCTGCCAAAACCAGAGGAGAAAATCTTCAGCATTATGGGACAATGATTGGAAGCTAGTCTAGCCAAGTGTTTTATAGCCGCCAACTTGATATTCTTCAAAGCTGCCAAATTAATAATGCAACGATCCAATCTCTCAAAAATAAAGGCTTTGCCTTTCTTGTTGTTGCACCAAGTGAATTTGGGGCCAACTATTCCCACTTCATTGAAGTCACAATTACTTATAAAGGAGTACATGTCATGAGTACCAGTAGAATATATAATCTTCTTACCTCCCTTCTTATCATATTGTGACAGTAAATAGTTAAAGCCTCCTCCTATAATGGCTGGATTTTTTATGTTTGCTATCATCTCCAAGCTACTCCGCAAATATATTCTCATGAAATAGTTTTTATTTCCATATACTGTAGCTATACACCTTGTTCCGTTTTTAGCTATACTAAGCTCACCAATCACAACTTGAGAGTTAGCCTCTTTGACAATAAAGGAAGCAATATCATTTCTCCAACAAGTCATAATACCTCCTGAAAGACCTTCAGCTGAATATAGAAAGTAATCCCATTTATCTCCTAAGAACAATTTGAATTCACGAGTATGAATGGATGAAATTTTTGTTTCAACCAAACCAACAAATAGAGCATCATGATCCATCACTATCTCCTTTAAATATCAAGAGGTTTCAACTTTCCTTACCCCTCTACAGTTCCAAAAAATTACAGATGTTGTTTTTGAATGTTAACGGGATTGCAACCATTAGCACTTCTCTTTAGAACTTCTGTTCTTCTGCTTCTAAGTTGAAGAATGTTCTTACCAAGTGAATGCAGTTCTTTCTGAAGCTTGAACTTAATAGTACCAGCAACAATTGTATCTTTTATGGTGGAAGCTGTAGGATCTTCTTGTGTGTCTTCAGTAATCTCACCTTCTTATTTTTCAACTATGGCTTTATCAACAACCTCTTCAATAGGCATATTATTCACTTCTCAACTTACTGAATCTAAAACACTGAATTGATTATTATGAACAATAATTGGCTCAGTTGAGAGGTTGAACTATTTATCATAATTCTTCTCCACTGAAAGGAAATCTGTATCTATATTATGCACCACAGGATCTGCATTAACATGCTCCAAATCAATCATCTCTGACAAACAAGGTTTTCCATCTTCTATAGTTGTTACCATGTCTTCATTTTTTTTCTGCAATAACAATATCAGGAATAGATTCCACAATTGACTTGATTCCATTTTTGCTGGATTGCTGATTTTTAACAACATAAACAGAGGTATATTTAGGACAAAGTCCTTGACCACCTCTGTCAAGAGCTTGAAGTTTCTTATTTTTCCCATATTTGACATGAATCCATGGTCCATAAGACACTCTTTTTCATCAATCAGCCTCTCAGAATTAACCTTGTTTCCAATGCTTTGATTTTGACAATTTGAGTTTGAATTAACTGAATTAACCAATTTCCTTCCCAGTTCATAATCTTCAATCAGATGTCCAATCTTCCCGCACTTGAAGCAAAAACTAGAAACTTTTTCATATTCTAATTTTGGAAGGAGCGTCCTTCCACTCCCTCTACCCAAACTCCTAACGGAAGTTGTTTGTTTAGAGCCACACGTACACAAACTCTAGCAAATTCCTTCTTGCTTAATTGGAACATATTTCCATCCAAAAACAAGGGATTACCAACCATAGAAGCAATACGAGTTATGTTAATGTCATCCAAATAGTAAAGAGGTAAGTGGGGCATCCTTACTCTTATTGGAGAAGATAAACCCTTCAGTGAAGTAGGTGAGAAATCAGCAGTCCACTTGCCTAGCCCAACAATATGGCCACAAACAAACCAAGGACTGCCTGATAAAACTCCTTCCATAGCTTCCCTAGAAGAAAAAGAACATAGAACCCAGCCAAGACCAAGGCTGGTTAAGTGAAACTTTCCAAACTGTGACTATTGCCGGTGCAACGCATCAGTAATAACATAAGTCGTAATGTTGCTTCCAAACACTTTTACCACAATAGAGTTATGAAGTTTCTCAGAATTTGATTTAACAGATTGTTCAAACAACTTAACAGCTAGCCCATCTGCAGAAAGGATGGATTCATCATTTATAAAATTTATTTTGATATTAGGATGTTTCTCCCATGGATTTGCCTCTTTTCTTTAAATGCATTCATCATCTCTTCTTGAGCATTTCTACATTCAACATGACTACCAATATCCACATTTACAAAGATAGAGTTTTCTCTGATGATTCCATTTCTGAAATCTTTGACAAATATATTAATTTTTGAAGACGTAGAAGCTTCAAAATCATTAGATTTATTTATCACATTAATCTTCTCAATCTACTTTAGAGTCTTGAATTGAACATCTTCATGAATTTCCTTCCCTTTACTAGCTACCGGAGTTGATTCCTTCACAAAATTATCAACTGGTTCTTTGATCACTAGTGGACCAGGCAACCTGGAATTTAGAATTTGAATTTGCGAAGAAGATCTCATATGATTAATGCTATTATTAGGTGGAGTTGACGTGGATGACTTCCGGCAGTTAGTAGTGGACGCCGATGAAGCCAACGCCATGAACGAGTTGGCCGCCCCAAAACATGGGACTTGATAGATTTGAAAAAAATAGAACTTTCTCTCACTAGAAAATACCACAGATTCTCTCACTAAAAAAAATAATCAAGAGTCTGATTGTCTATTTTTTAAAAGTTCTTCAAAGAGAGCATATTAATAACAAAAAGAGATAAAACCTTATCTTTAACCTTTTGAATAGCCTTATGATGGTTCATCCAAACATCATTAAAAAGAGAATTATTCCTCTCCAACCATAAGAACCTAAGTAGGAGAGAAGGAATAACATTACGGATATGCCCTTTATAATTGATGAACCAAGCCTTAAGCATAGATTTAAGAGACAAATGAACATTAAAGCAATTTAACTGAAAAAAATCATCAAAATAAACCCAAGTTTTAATAGCAACTGGGACAGAAATAAAAACATTATGCATATTCTCAATGTGGTAACAACATTGACACATGGAAGGCAACATAAAACCTTTTTTTGATGATATTATCATCCGTGGGAATAAATATATGTAGAATTCTCCAAATAAAAATAGACACAGTAGTAGGGATGCTCCTTTGCCAAATCAAAGAAAAATATTATCACTATTTCTACTTGCTCTAAAAGTATGCCAAGCCTTTCTTAAGTGAAAACCACCATCATTAGATAAATAACATAAGATAATGTCCTTAGAATCATTATTAATAGGAAAGTTAAGAATTTGATGAATAATAAAATTAGGAACCACACTAGTAAGTTTCTCATAATCCAAGCAGTTATTCATAAATAAATAATTAACCTTAGTCAAAGAAATAGAAGCCGAATTCAAGATAGATTCAATAGATAGTTTGCCTAACCAACAATCTTGCCAAAAGAAAGCATTACCTTCACCAAGTCCCCAAGAAATGTATGGCTCAAACTCCCAGTTAACTTTGCAAAGTCAATTCCACACTCTAGAATCACCCTGCTTAAAGTAACAAGTAGTTGGGTGTTTGTCAACATTCTATTCGGAAGACATAAAATTAGCCCAAAGGCTCGCTTTAGCACAAAAATTATACCAAAGCTTAAAAGAGAATACCATAGCCAAATCATTCATATTTTTATAACCTAAACCCCCTTTAGACAGGACACCACAACATTTATCCCATGCAGCCCAAGAAATTTTGAGATTAGTAGAAGTACCTTTCCCAAAAAAAAAAAAGTTTATGCACTCTATTACAAACAGCTTGAGTGGGAAGAATAGTTTGAAAACTATAAACCAAAAAAGAACACAAAACACTTTTGAAAAGAGTAGTTTTACCACTAAAGCTAAGAAAATTAGAATCCAAAGTTTAAAATTTTATTTTGAATAGAGGTAATAAGATCATCAAAGAGAAAAGTTTTCCTTCTACCTTTAAAAGAGGGTAACCAAGGTATTTAATGGATAATTGACCATGGATAAAGCCAGTTAAATCTTTAATTGATAAAATATTATTATTAGGAATCCTCTTAGAAGTAATAAAACATCTTTTGTTTTTGCTAAAAGATAAGCCGCTGACCATCTCAAATTGATAAAAAAATCCATAAGTTTTTTAATTCTATTGGTAGAAGCATTGGTAAAAATAATAAAGTTATCTGCAAAACATAAATGAGAAATGGGAAAACCATCCAAAGTTCTAAAGTAAAGACTAGGATTATTCTCAAAAAGATTGGTAAGGCCTATAGATAAAAATTCAACAGCAATACTAAAAAAGAGCAGGAGATATAGGATCCCCTTGCCTTAAGCCATGAGAAGATTTAAACGAACCATTAGTAGAACCATTCACAATAATATAGAAAAAAATATCTTCAATACAGTTCTTGATAAGCTTGATAAAAATTGAATTAAAGCCAAGACACTCCAAAATATGATAAATAAAGTACTAGTCAATATTCTCACAAGCCTTGGCAATATTAAGCTTCAAAATCAAATTCCCCCCTCTTACTCTAACATCCAAGTCATGGAAAAATTCTTGAGCCAATAAAATATTATCCGTAATAACCCTATCTTTCACAAAACCCATATGAGAAGTAGAGATAATTCAAGCTAAAATAGAAGTAAGATAATTCATAAAATTCTTAGAGATTAACTTATTAAAAAAGGTACAAAGATTAATAGGTCTAAAATCATTCCAAGTGTTGACAGAGTTATTTTTGGGAATAAGAACAATGGAAGTAGAAGTAAAAAACTTAGGGATAGAGTTACAAGCAAAAAAATCCAGAGTAACAGCAAAAATATTATTATTAATGATGTGCCATGATTTTTGAAAAAATTGAGTAAACCCATCAGGCCCAGCCACCGAATCACTATTCATACCAAACAGAGTCTCTTTAACCTCTTTAAAAGAATGAGGTTTAGAAAGAGACTCATTATCCTCTTGGGTAATAAGGTTAGGAATAAAGGAGTGATCAGTAATCTGAACCGGGTTAAAATTCTTATTAATATGATTTTGAAAGTGTTGGACAACTAAATTAGCTATATCCGCATTATTCTCAGTAAAAGAACCAACCTCATGTTAGATCTTATTAATTCCATTTTTAGCTCATTTCCTCTTAACCAATGCATGAAAATACTTAGTATTATTATCACCGTCAACCAAGTGCTTAGCAACAACCTTTTATTTCCAAAAAGCCTCTTCGTTAGCTTTGAATTTATAAAGATCCTCTTTAGCTTTTTTTTTAAAGAGAGAAATTAGCATCAGAAGGATCAACTTGATAAGTAAATTCAATATTCTTAACAAGTTGCTCAGCCTCCAATATATTAGAAAAGTGGTTTCTAAAAACATTATGGTTCCACCAATTTAAAACCTGCTTAAGCCAAAGTCTCCTCATGCCAAAACTAGAGTTATCCGGATGAAGACGAGCTTGCCAATTATTCTCAACAACCTCAAAAAAGGAGTCATGAAGTAACCACATGTTTTGGAATCTCAATTGAGAAGAAGCATTAAATTGTCTAAAATTAAGGCTAATAAGCAAAGGAGATTGGTCAGACATAGTTCTACTAAGATGTTGCACCTTAATATAATTAAAAGTATTAAGCCAAGAGTCATTAAAAAGCACA